TTCTGACATGCTCGAATCATTTCTGTAATGGTACTATTTTTTCTCAGAGGTGTCAGGCATTTCTTACAATCAGCATTGGCATTCTCATAAGCTAATTGCTGAATTAAAATGTCTCCTGCTGTTTCATGCTGAATCTGTCATCTCATTGCTCATGTGAAGTGAGCCACAAAGTCAGAAAATGACTCTGTAGACCCCTGCATACATTTACTAAAAGCTCCCTCAGGGTCCCCTTTTTCTGGTAAAGCCCACCAAGCTCTTCTTCCACAAAGTCTAACTTGCTCATAAGCCTGTTGCGCAAAATTTAGCTGATTTTGCACGTCACTGTATTGTCCCAGCCCTGCTAACATTTCATAAGTTATTTGATCATTCAGCCTGCAGTTTGTGTGGGCTTGCTCCTGACATTTCTCCAAAAGTTCTCCCTTCCATAGTAAATAATCTCCTCCATCAAGAGTTGTGCAAGCCAGAGAATACCAATCATAAGCAGCTAAAAATGCTTCAGGAATGTTAGTCATAATTTCTCTGGTAAAAGGAGCAGTAGGACCATTTTGGACTATGCTCTCACGCAAGGCCTTTATCATTTCAAAGTCAAATTTTCATGCTGTCTTATTATATGATTCGGGAGCTGTGGGTCAGCTACCCGTGTAATAGGAAAAGCAAGTCTCTCCTCCACTGTCATGCCCTTTAATCCTTCTCAGATAGCTCTTTGCATAGGTGATTCTATTAATAGCGAATTAAATATTTCAGGATTAGGATATGGAGGTCGACCCCTCAGATTGAGGACTTTTTTGTTTGTTTGTTTCTTTTTAAATTAAATCTTTATTGTTCAGATTATTATAGTTGTTCCTCTTTTTCCCTCCCATAGCGCCCCTCAACCCAGTTCCCACCTCACCCTCTGCCCTTACCCCCCCCCACTGTCCTCATCCATAGGTGTACGATTTTTGTCCAGTCTCTTCCCGCACCCCCACACCCCTTTCCCCCCCGCCCCCGAGACTAGTCAGTCCACTCCCTTTCTATGCCCCTGATTCTATTATATTCACCAGTTTATTCTGTTCATCAGATTTTTTGTTCACTTGAATTTTAGATTCACTTGTTGATAGATATGTATTTGTTGTTCATAACTTTTATCTTTACCTTTTTCTTCTTCTTCCTCTTCTTAAAGAATACCTTTCAGCATTTCATATAATACTGGTTTGGTGGTGATGAACTCCTTTAGCTTTTTCTTATCTGTGAAGCTCTTTATCTGACCTTCAATTCTGAATGATAGCTTTGCTGGGTAAAGTAATCTTGGTTGTAGGTTCTTGGCATTCATCACTTTGAATATTTCTTGCCACTCCCTTCTGGCCTGCATAGTTTCTGTTGAGAAACCAGCTGACAATTGTATGGGTACTCCCTTGTAGGTAACTGACTTTTTTTCTCTTGCTGCTTTTAAGATTCTCTCTTTGTCTTTTGCTCTTGGCATTTTAATTATGATGTGTCTTGGTGTGGTCTTCTTTGGATTCCTTTTGTTTGGGGTTCTCTGTGCTTCCTGGACTTGTAAGTCTATTTCTTTCACCAGGTAGGGGAAGTTTTCTGTCATTATTTCTTCAAATAGGTTTTCAATATCTTGCTCTCTCTCTTGCACCCCCATAATTTGGATGTTGGTACCCTTGAAGTTGTCCCAGAGGCTCCTTACACTATCTTCATATTTTTGGATTCTTTTTTCTTTTTGTTTTTCTGGTTGGGTGATTTTTGCTTCTTCATATTTCCAATCTTTGACTTGATTCTTGCAATCCTCTAGTCTGCTGTTGGAACTCTGTATAATATTCTTTATTTCAGTCAGTGTATGCTTAATTTCTAGTTGGTCCTTGTTCATATCCTTGAGGGTCTCACTAGATTTCTTGAGGGTCTCACTAAATTTATCGGCGGTTTCTAGAAAATTCTTGAAAGACCTTAAAAGTGTGGTTTTGAACTCTATATCCAGTAGTTTGCTTTCCTCCATTTCTGTCATTTGTGACCTGTTTCTTTGTCTCCGCATTTTGGCTGCTTTCCTGTGTTGATAGAGTGGCTTTGTGTGCTAGGTGTCCTGTAGGGCCCAGTGGCTCAGCCTCCCCAATTACCTGCGGTGGACACTCTTGGTGCACCCCTTTGTGGGCTTTGTGCACAGTCTTGTTGTAGTTAAGCCTTGATTATTGTAGGTATCACTGGGAGGAATTGACCTCCAGGCCAATTGGCTGTGAGAATCAGCCGTGTCTCCAGTGGGAGAACTTCTGTGCTGGAGACACCCTTATGGGGCAAGGCTTGCTTCAATGGGGCTTTGGTGCTCACTGAGTCTGCCCCCTGAGTGTGTCCCTTATGGATCTGAGGAGTTGTAATCTGGATGCACCCACTATGACCACTGGGTACACTGGCTCTTGGATCTCTAAGGAGTTGCTAATTTAGCCTCTGCCGTAGGCTACCCAGCAGGTGGTACGGAGAGATCTGCAGATTCCTCTCCTTTGTTTGGGATTTGGAGGTGCCCATATGAGGCCCAGTTGTGAAGCAATGCAAGCTGCTGTGGGGCCTTGGGCCTTCTTTTGGATGTTCTGGGTCTCTCTGACCCAGCTGCAGTTTGTTAGGTAATTTTCAGATTGCAAAGGGCCAGGCCTTTCATATGCAAAAGCCTCTGCACACAGCTTGGGTGTGGTGGGGTCTCAGGGAATCAACAGGGCGGAGCAAACAGCTATGGCTGATCCTCAGTCCTGCCCTAAGAGGTCCCGGGTCTCAGTGTCCCGCAGTAATCGCTGCAAGCACCTCTGAGAGAAAGCCGCCCTCGAGTTCCGACTGATGCCAGACAGTCCAGTTCCTCCCTGTATGAGTCTGGGTCCCCAGAGACTCTCCCGGAACTGGAGTTCAGAGCAGTTGGGAGCTTGAGACTCCCTCCCGATTGAAAAAGACAACCGCCTCCTCAGTTGCCAGCCCTTTCCACTTGCGCCTCTGTACCTCTGCACTTTACTTCCGCAGCTCCTCTGAGTCTCAGTGTGCTTTTCTCTTTCCTTCTAGTTGTAGAATTTCCACCCCGCCAGCCTTCCTGTGGTTCTGGATGATGTCCGTTTTGTCTTTTAGTTGTATTTTTGAAGTGGTTGTGGGAGGCAGCAATTTCCGGTGTTTACCTATGCCGCCATCTTGGTTTCTCTCCTTGAGGATGTTTTTAGCAAAGGCCAGCTTAGGAGTACCCTAATTAAGTTAATAACAATGTACCTACCTATATAGTTTAAGTTTAAAAAATTTAGCTCTCAAAAGAAATTTCAGTCGTTGTACTGGTGATATTTGGCTCTAGTGACTAATGAATTTGCCGACCACTGTCCTAGCCAATTAGGAACATACTTCTGCCTACACCTCAAGGCCTGGGTCATGGGTGTCAGACCCCAAGCCATTCAGGGAGAATGAATAATGAATATGAGAAAGAAAAGGGAGAGGAAGGCTGAGAGATGAGAGGAGCAGTCTGATCTGGGTAGGGAGAGGGGAACCTTAGCCTGAATATCAACAGCTGTGCTTTATCTGTGTGACCCTGGATCAGTTTCTTCAGAGTGATATGGTTAGAATACATAATCCTGAAAACCATTATTTTCTAAAATTGTATTAAGGGAAAGAAGATGGGAAACGGAGACAATAGATATGTTGGGAGGTATTCACATACAAAGGCCCTCAATTGCTACTTAAAACCTGACAAAGAAATTCAGCAGCTGTCTGAGTAATGTTTCCTAAATGCAAAGTTATGCAAATTTGGGTCTGAGAACCCCTGAAGCGCTATAAATTCTTTTTTAAAATTTTGTTTGAGGCAACCTAAAATATATCACTGTAAGTATATTCTGGTTCATTTCTAGGAATATCTTGTAACTGCAGGATGATTGAGTTTACAATCATGTAGTAGTGGTAGAGAATTTTATTTCCGTTAAAAGGTTGGAGAAAAGTTGTTCTGGTATTTAATATCCACAGACTAGACTTTCTTCATTTTATCTAACCCCAGTCACTTGCTATATATTTATGTTGAATTTCAAAACCAGAAATTTGAAGGGAAATAACGCAAACTTAATTTGGAGTAAAAACTAGTGTGAGCAGTGCCTTTTAATTCCAAGAATGTGAGAGAAAGTAACATAAACTACATTTTGATTGTCTATATCTGAAAATGTGGCAAGAATTTCTTTGTTTATAAGTAAAAAATAGGCATTATTTCTATGATCTATATTAGAAGTTGAATTAGGTCTCTTTGAGGTATTCATTAAGAGAAATGGATTTATAATTGTTGGTAAAAAATAAAATTTAAACTTCATTTATTGTTTCCTCTGAAGTGGGTTTAGTGTATACACTTAAGTAATATTTTTCATATTACCGTGTCCAGTTTTAATTTTTTTTACTTATATATGTACTAGAAGGGCTATTTGGTATTTTCTGCCTTAAGTATTCATTTTGTATTAAATATTATGAGCTTACTTTTATTTATTTTTTTAAAAAATGTTTTTATTGATTTTTAGAGAGAGAGGAAGGGAAAGGGATAGAGAGATAGAAACATCAATAAGAGAGAAACATTATCGATCAGCTGCCTCCCACACATCCCCTACTGGGGATCAAGCCTGCAACTCATGCATGTGCCCTGACCAGTAATCAAACCGTGACCTTCTGGTTCATGAGTCGACACTCAACCTCTGAGCCATACCAGCTGGGTGATCTTACTTTTAGAGTGAATGAATGTGAGATTGAGAAAATGATGGAGAGAGCTGATTTACTTGTTCTGTGCTGTGATGGTAAACATGGGTTGCAATCCACTTTTATTTTAAATGGACTCATGGAAAAAGCACAAATTAGAATTAAAACAAGTTGGCAATTAGGTCACATATTTTACTAAGCTGTGATTGGTAATATGAAAATTAACTTCACAGTAGATAGTCATATTTCTTCAGGTTACAAAGGTCAATGAGAAGAGAATGGTGGTACAGCTAAGCTAAAGATGGTACAGGTATTTGAAGACTGTTTTTGCCTCATAGGTGTGCATTTATATTATGTCGGGGGAGAGGTCTATGCTGAGTGTGTGAGCGACAGCAGCATCTTTGTCCAGAGCCGGAACTGCAACTATCAGCACGGTTTCCACCCAGCCACTGTCTGCAAGATCCCCAGTGGTTGTAGCCTCAAGATCTTCAGCAACCAGCTCTTTGCTCAGCTACTTGCTCAGTCAGTCCACCATGGATTTGAAGTCGTCTATGAGTTAACTAAGATGTGCACTATCCGGATGAGTTTCGTTAAGGTAAGGAGTGCTTGCTTCCACATTGAAGATGGAAACTGAAAAACAAAAAAGGCATTCTTTGGTTGATGTGGCAGTTACACAGCCAGCTCTAGTAGACAGCAGGGGTTTTTTTTTGAAGTTTATTTCTATGAGTATGATCTCTCTTGTTTAGCAATTATAAGAAAATTCTTAAGCATAACACTTTTGGGGGGAAAACAACTTTAAGTAGTTATCTGATTTTTAATGCAGAAGATAAAGTGACAATAATATTTTTATAAGATGCAAGGCTATAGAGATTTTTCCAACCCTCAAATTGCCAAGCATGATTATCCTATATAATAAAGAGGTGATATGAAAATTAACTCTCACACCCTCACAAGATGGCTGCCTACGACCAGGCCGGCAGGGGGTTAGTGAGGGATGATCAAACAACTGAATAGCAGGCTGCGTGGGGCAACCAGGCCAGCGGGGGGGGCCTGTGAGGGGCAAACAGGCCCACAGGTCGGGCAGTTGGGGGCAACCAGGCCAGTGCGGGGGGAAGTTGGGGGCAACCTGGCTGGCAGCGAGGGGCAGTTAGGGGTAACCAGGCAGGCATGCAGAGGCAGTGAGGGGCGATCAGGCTTGCAGGGGCGGCAGTTAGGGGTGACCAGGCAGGTAGGCAGGTGAGCAATTAGGTACCAGTGGTCCTGGATTGGAGAGGGTGCAGGCTGGGCTGAGGGCACGAATTTTGTGCACCAGGCCTCTAGTAACTTAATAAATGTTGATGAATTTGCCTGAATGAAATTAGAGACTCCTCTAACTCTTAGCATACAGGCAAATGGAAGAGGTAATATTCTATATAATAAAAGGCCAGAGGTGTCACAACTGAAATGACCAGAGACCAGACCACCATGGCCCTTCATGGGCTGGCCCTGCCCCCAATCAAGTTGTTAGGGGCAATCAGGCAGGCATGCAGAGTGGTTTAGGGTGATAAGGTAGGCAGGCCAGCTGCTAGGGGCGATCAGGTAAGCAGATGGCCCCTCACTGGGCTGGCCCCACCCCCAAGCAAGTGGTTAGGGGCAATGAGGCAGGCAGAGTACTTAGTGGTGATCAGGTAGGCAAACCAGCGGTTAGGGGTGATCAGGTAGCCAGGCAAGTGGTTAGGGGCGATCAGGTAGGCAGGCCAGCAGTTAGAGGAGATCAAGTAGGCAGACGACCCCTTGCCGGGCTGGCCCCACCCCCATGCAAGCAGTTAGGGGTGATCAGGTAGGCAGACCAACAGTTAGGGGTGATCAGGTAGGCAGACAGCCCCTTGCTGGGCTGGCCCCGCCCCCAAGCAAGCAGTTAGGGGCAATCAGGCAGGCAGGCAGAGTGGTTAGGGGCGACCAGGTAGGCAGACCAGCAGTTAGGGGTGATCACGTAGGAGGCAAGTGGTTAGGGGCCATCAGGTAGGCAGGCCAGCGGTTAGGGGAGATCAGGTAGGCAAACGGCCCCTCACAGGACTGGCCCTGCCCCCCAGCAAAGAAAGAGGGAGGCCCAGGCCAGCCAAGCCATCGCACCCCAGCCTGTCACCTGCAGAGGGAGGCCACTGGTGGCAGGGGATGGGGTCAGCACTGCACAGATGGCAAGCAGTGGCAGCGGTGGGGATGGGGCCAGCTGCCTTGCAGACGGGGGAAGGAAAGCCCTGCTAGGCCCTGATCTCAAGCCAGGCCTAGGGACCCTAACCGAGGGGTCCCAGATTGTGAGAGGGTGCAGGCTGGGCTGAGGGACACCCCCCCGAGTGCACAAATTTTTGTGCACTGGGCCTCTAGTGTGTGTGTGTATATATATATTAGAAACATTATGATGAGTATGATTAAATTGAGAGAGTAATAATATTCTGTTTATGAATATTTATGAAATTTATCAAATTAGAGCTTATTAAAGTTGATGTGAAGGTTGGAAAACTGAGGAAGTTACAACTGAATTTTCACATTGAAGTTAAAGGCCTCAGTTTCAACATCTGCTGTTTCATCTCTTGCAAAGTGATTGCAAATAATTATATTTCAAAGTCTTAGCTTATTTATCAAACTACCTACATGTATTGACACAATTTTCACATTGTCACATATCCATCCAAACAATCAGTATGTCTTGTTCTAGATATTTTTCAAGTAAAATTTATTAGTCTTTTAAAATTACCATGAAAAATAATTGTCCGTTTTTTCTGTACTCAAATTATGTTTTTATTATATTTTTAATTTTAGTAATTTTTAAAAATCTAGAATACAAATACAATTTAAAAATGACTTCTTGAAACTATTTCTCTTTTGTGATGACAAAGCAGTTTTATTCTGTTTTACTGGTAAGCTGTAAAAAGCATTTTTACATTGTAAAACAATTAACTAATATCTGGAAATTTTTTCCAATTTCTGATGCTTTAGACTCAGCAGAGGGGATTAAATTGCCATTAATGAACAATCATTTGAATTGTATGGTTATTTTTCCAGGTCTTTGTTTTTAAAATTAGGATGAAATACCAATATCTCAGAGGTAATTATTTCACTATAATATATACTTGCATAGAAATCTGATTTTCCAAAAATCAACCAGATGTATTTAATAGATATACAACATTTAAATCATAAAACTGCACAATTCACTGAAAACAAAGTCCCTAATATTTCAGGGACTTTAAAAAAATTCTTAGCAAATATAACTACAGATGATCAGTTTAAAAGAAATTTAAAAGCTCTCATCACATTAAAGAAATGTGTAACAATGGGAGGTGATGGATCTTAACTAAACTTATCGTGGTAATCATTTTGCAATATATGCATATACCAAATCATTATATTGTATACTGAAAACTGATACAATGTCATGTATCAATTATATCTCAATAAAACTGGGGAGGGGGGAGACAGTACAAATTAAAAGAACATAAAATATTTCATTACTAATTTCATACTGATTATATATTGATATGATAATATTTTGGATATATTGGATTGAGTAAAACATTATTAGATTTTAAAAAATACAAATGAAATAAATTATAGATGACTAAACACTAGTGGCTATTCTTGGGGGATGATAGACTAGATCATCTTTAAGGACTCTTTCAGCTCTAATTCTTACTAATTCTAGGGCTCATTTCATCAGTCAACAAATATTTTTGAGCACCTATCATGTGCCAGGTTAGGCACCATTCTAGGAACTGGAATACATCAATGATTATGCAAAGATCTCTGCCTTCATAAAATCAATATAATAGGAAAGAGAAACACAATAAACAACAGCTATAATAAAGAATTTGAATGTAAAGAAAAAATGCAGAGCAGAGTAAACGAAATTGGAGTGCTGGGGAAGAGGTAGATTGCAGGTTTTAATGAGGTGGTCAGGGGAAGCCTCATTGAAGAGGTGGAACATGAGCAAAGACTTGAATGACACAAGAAAGATAGCCATAAGGATATCTGGGGTAAGAGCAGTAGACACACAGGAAAGGGCAAGCTCAACTGCAAGAAGCAAGAGCATGGCTAGGAATTTGTAGTAGCAAGGAGACTGGGGCATAATGAGTGAGGGTGATGTGAGATCAGAACTGTAACAGGGAATCAGATCAGTGCTTTATAAGTCAGTGCAAGAGTTTTGGCTTTTACTCTAAAGAGAAGGGGAGCCATTGCAGGGATTTGAGCAGAAGATTTTCATGATCTGACTTAGGCTTTTAAAGGATCACTCTGGCTGTTGTGTGGATGCAGGCAGGGTTGGAAGTAGGGGGACCAGTTAGGAGGCTACAGCAATATTCAGATGAGAGATGATGGTTGCTCCCAGTAGGAGAGTTCTAATAGAAGTTGTGAGAAGTGGACCGATCTAAATGTGAAGGCTGACTTGATGTGGGGTATGAGAAAAAGAAAGGAGTTAGATGAAGTTTCCTTTAATCAAAATGGAGAAGATGCAGGTGGCTCAGGTTTGGATACAAGACAAAGAGTTCAGTTTTAGTGAGAATAACTTTGAGGTGTTTGTCACACGTTCAGTGAAGTACTGAGTAGGCAGTTGGATGTACAAGTTAGTCTGCACTTGGAGAGAGAAAGCTAGGTTGAGAATGTAAATTTAGAAATTATCAGGTTATGGACAGCATTGAACTCAATGAGCCTGGATGAGATCACCAACAGTTTGAGTTTAAACAGAGAAGATAAGGGGTTCCAGGATGGAGTCCTGGGACATTTCAACTTTAAACGATAGTGGAGAATGGAAACAGGGGGAAGTTGGCAGCATAGGTAAATGCCTGTACTTGTCACCTCCCACAACCACATCAAAATTACAACTAAAACAGAACAACCATCATCCAGAACCACCAGAAAGCTGGCTGAATGGAAGTCCTACAACTAGAGAAGTAAATAAGAAAGCACACTGAGACTGGTAGGAGGTGCAGAGGCGTGGAATGGGCTGGTCTGGCACCCATGTGTGCCGCTTTTTTAATCGGGAGGGAGATCATCTCTGTGGAGGTTGCCAGGAGGAGCAAGGGGTCCCAGAACCACACCAGATCCCCAGCCCAGGGTCCCAGAGCTGGGAAAAGAAATCCCTGTGGTCAGTAAGAACTACAGGTTGTAAAAACCAGTGTGGATTGGGGCTCAGTGACACAGAGGCTGCTGGAGACCCATCTGTTCCTCTTAAAAGGCCAGCACCACAAACTGAACTTACAAGATCCTAATTCCTCTGAGCTCCAGCACCAGGGCAAGGTTCTGGGGGACACACATACGAGGAGGAACTGGATTGTCTGGCATCAGGGCAGAAACTCAGGGTGGCTTTCTCCCAGACAGAGGTGCTCACAGGGATTATTGTTCCTATGCTGGGACCTCCCAGGTCACAGGGCTGACTGGCAACCATTTCTGTTTGCTCTGCCCTGGTGATTCCCTAAGATCCCGCCTCATCCAATTTACAACTCCACCCAAGATGCGTGCAGTGTATTTTGCATATGAATGGCCTGTCCTTGCTCAGGCTAAAGTGTCTCAAACAAGCTGCAGCTGGGTCAGGGAGTCCCAAACTTATCAATAAAAGGCCTAAGACCTGGCACCAGCACCAGCCTGCCTTGCTTCATAGCTGGGCCTTATCTGGGCACTTCCAAACCTGATACAAAGAGGAGGAATCTGCAGATCTCTCTGTAGCTCCTGCTGGGTAGCCCCAGGCAGTGGCTGACTTTGCACTTCCCTGGAGACCCAAGAGCCAGTGTACCCAGTGGTCAGTGTCAGGCTATACAAGATTACAACCCTACACATCTATAAGCAACACACTCAATGAGCAGACTCAGTAAGCACCAAAGCCCCACTGAAGCAAGTCCTGCTCCATAGGGGTGTCTCCTGCACAGCAGCTCTCCCACTGTAGTCACAGCTGGTTCTCACAGCCAATTGGCCTGGAGGTCAATTTCTCCCAGTTACAGCAATAGCAATAAAGTCTCAACTACAACAAGACTGTGCTCACAGCCCACAAAGGGGTGCACCTAGAGTTCCCAACTCAGGTGATTGGGGAGACTGAGCCACTGGGCCTTATAGGACACCTACTACACAAGGGCTCTCTACCAACTCAAGGAGACATAGCAGCTCTACCCAATACATAGAAACAAACACAGGGAAGCAGCCAAAATGCAGAGACAAAGAAACATCTCACAAATGAAAGAAATGGAAGAAAGCAAACTACTGGATATAGAGTTCAAAACCACAGTTATAAAGTTACTCAAGAACCTTCTAGAAACCTCCAAAAAAATGGAAAGGACCAGTCAGAAATTAATCATACACTAACTGAAATAAAGAATATTATACAGGGATTCAACAGTAGAGTAGAGGATTCTGAAAATCAAATCAATGATTTGAAATATGAGGAAGCAAAAACCACCCAATCAGAAGAGCAAAAAGAAAAAAGAATCCAAAAATATGAAGATAGTGTAAGGAACCTCTGGGACAACTTCAAGTGTACCAACATTCACATTATGGGGGTGCCAGATGAAGAGAGAGAGCAAGATATTGAAAACCTATTTGAAGAAATAATGACAGAAAACTTCCCCTACCTGTGAAAGAAAGAGACATACAAGCCTAGGAAGCACAGAGAGTCCCAAACAAGAGGAACCCAAAGAGGACCACACCAAGACACATCATAATTAAAATGCCAAGGGCTAAAGACAAAGAGAGAATCTTAAAAGCAGCAAGAGAAAAGCAGTTAGTTACTTACAAGGGAATGCCCATAGGACTGTCAGCTGATTTCTCAACAGAAACTATGCAAGTCAGAAGATAGTGGCTAGAAATATTGAAAGTAATGAATAGCAAGGACCTACAACCAAGATTACTTTACCCAGCAAAGCTATCATTTAGTATTGAAGGTCAGAGAAAGAGCTTCACAGACAAGAAAAAGCTAAAGGAGTTCATCACCACCAAACCAGTATTATATGAAATGTTGAAGGGCATTCTTTAAGAAGAGGAAGAAGAAGAAAAAGAAAAAGATAAATAAAATATGAACAACAACATGGCAACAAATACATACCTATCAACAATTTAATCTAAAAGTAAAAATAAATGAATAAGAAATTTAATGAGCAGAATAAACTGGTGAATAAAATAGAATCAGAGGCATGGAAATGGAACAAACTGACGATTTTCAGAGGGAAGGGAGCGGGAAGAGATTAAACAAAGATCATATATGCATATATGCATTACCTAAGGAGACAGACAATAAAGATTTTTTTAAAAAAAGAAAAGATAGTGGAGAAGAGAAAGAACCAGCAAAGAAAACTGAGAATGTGCCACCACCAAAATAGTAGTAAAACCAAGAAAGGAAGGTTCTTTCTAAGCCAAAAAAAAAAGAAAATACATTGATGAGGAGAGGGGATGAACTAAAGCAAATACTGCCCATGTGACACAAAGACTGAAAGCTGATCATTAATTTGAGCAATATGAAGGTCTTTTTGATCTTGATAAGAACAATATTGTTGAAGGCTTGAGTGAAATGTTGATTAGAATGGATTTAAGAGAGAGTGGAAGAAGAGGAATTGAGACAGCCAGTGCAGATGCCTGTTTTTGAGGGGTTTTGCTACAAAGGGAGTCAAAGACATAGGACAATAATCTGTGGTGGTTGTAGTGCCCAGAGAAGTATTTTGAAGATGGAAGACATTTCAGCATGTTTGTACATTGATGGGAATGATCTGATGGAAAGAAAAAGGAAAGAATGGGGAGAGTTTCTGGAATGCTGTTCCCAGAGGTGAGTGAGTCTTATGCACAAGTAGATGGCTTATTTGGAAACACAGATAATCTATAGTAAAAGGTAGAAAGGTCAAGTCTGTGGGTGCAGTGCTGTGGAAATTCTCTTCTGATTGTTTCATTTCTCTCATTAAAATAGGAAAAAAGAAAATCTGTTGTAAGCAGGCTGGAGGAGTAGGTGGAAAAGTAGGAGAAATGAGAGAGTGAATGGTCTGGGAGAGAATGCTATGATTTCCAAGTGGCATCAAAGGTCCACTTGAAGTTTCTAGCCACAAATGTAAAGTGTAATCACGCAGCATGGTGTTTGAAATCCAACTTTTTTTTAAAATAAAAACGTACCAATTTTATATCAGTATCTACTTTCATTTTTAAATTAAAGCTGTTAGATAATTTCTGTAATTTAGAATTAATTACCAGAGATGAGGAAAATATTAATGAGCTATTAAATACTGACAATGAGTAAAATTATTGGACCATGCATTTATAAAAGCCATGTTTCATAGTAAAAAGTTCCAATTATATTTAACTGAAGGAAATATCCTTTAGCTTTTTATTTCTAACTAGAGGCCCGGTGCATGAAATACGTGCACTCAGGGCGGGGGTGGGGTGGTGGGGGAGTCCCTCAGACCAGCCTGCACCCTCTCGCAGTCTGGGAGCCCTCAGGGGATGTCCAACTGATGGCTTAATCCCGCTCCTCGCTCAGTTCTGATTGGCAGGACCCCAGCAGCAAGCTAACCTACTGGTTGAAGCATCTGCCCCTGGTGGTCAGTGCATGTCATAGCGAGCGGTTTGAGCAGCCTTAGCATATCATTAGCATATTATGCTTTGATTGGTTGAACAGACGACCGGACTACTGGACATTTAGCATATTAGGCTTTTATTATATAGGATTACAACACATTCTCATTTTGACATAATTTATCTTTTTCACCCAATTATTATACCAAACAAAAATTTTCCAAATGTTAAGCTTTTCTCTACCATTTATGAAATATGACTTACTCTTTTAGAGTTCCTTAGGAAAAAAATTGAATTTTTAATTTTCATTGTGAACTTATTTGATCAAAAATTATAGGACATCACTACATGAGTTCAAAAAATGGAATAAAAATTAAAAGTGGTATCTATATTATCAGCAAATTATCAGATAAGACATTTTAACTACTTCATATTTCTTCTTAGCATGAGTAAGAATAAACTGGTTCCAAAGTACTATGAGGGTTGGCATTTTTACTGCAAGGTTTAAATCACAGTGTTACTCTATTCAACAAGTCATATCCAGGTAAATGGCAGTGTTCATAAGTACAAAATTGTTAGTAGCTGGTACTCTATACAATCGAGAGAATTTTTTATAAAATTAGATTTTTAAAAAGGCAGAATGTCTGATAATTATCAGTCTCTCAAAGGCTAGAATGAGAAAAATGTAGAAAGTGAAGTACTCACTGATTAATAATATTTTGCTTTGAGAAAGCCAGAAATGATTCTAAGACATAAGCAATAATGATAAAAGATGTAATTAATATGCTGTATCTCTTTTTAAGCCAAAGCACACTTTTCACCTCAGGACAGTTCTCATTTTTACATTCTTAGTTTCCTTTGTCCGGAATAGGACCCCTTTTTGAGCCAGTATTTGAATAGAGTTCATAATCCAAAGTTATTTTTTTCTCCACAGGATGTTTTAAGCTGCAAAATGGAAAATGACTAAGTCAGTTATAAAGAATTTTTAGCATAATAAATGCCAATTTACAATAACTGTCAATAGACTTCTATGCAGAAGCCTAAAAGTTGCTACAGTAGCGGTCAGAACTAACATCTTCCATATGCTCATGCTTTGTTTATTAAATACTATCATAAATCCAGAAAAGAAACCCTACAGGGTCCTTCCAAAGCTGCCTAATTTCCCAAATGAGTTTCCTCTGGTTGCGGAGCCTATTCATTCCTTCAGTCCTTTTTCAGTTGTTTAGCTTTTGCAATATTTTCTTGGCATTTTTGTGTTTTCTTTTGCTCCTTTCCCCAGGCCTCAATCATCTTGGCCAATTTCCAGAACAGTACAGCACTTGCTAGAAACAATGGAGTAAGGGCAAAAATAACTGTTGTAAGGAAGCCATATGGATCCTTTGCAGCCCATTCCACAACATACTCAGCCCAAGCCTTTATGTCAAACATCTTTGTAGCAGTGTTAGGAAAAGACGACTTATGCTTGAGTTGTGATCTCTAACTTTGTCCTGGATTGGTGAGCCAATTACAATTTCAGATGGATGACCCCTGGTTGGTTGTCTTCTTTAGCTCTACTACACACTTCTGAGAGAAGGTTTAAATCCTATATACTTGGACTCGGATCCCAATTCCCAACTCCTGAAATCCAACTTTTAAATAACTCTACAGAGAATCAGTGTTCCCAATAACAAAACTAATTTGCTTAACTGGATCTGTCCTCATTTTAAAAATAACTTTTCATACAGAAAAAAATATACAAACTTATTTATTTACTTGTCTATTTATTTATTTATTTATTTATTTATTTATTTACTTATTTGCTGCCTCTCCTATGAATGGTAATAAATAGGAAATTGCCAAAAGTGAGCCAGAGAAACAGGAAGAATAAGCTTTGTTAATCAATCCTGAAAAATCAAGAGCATCCTCTAGTTCTTTCTTTATAAGTTCCAGATCCATCATTGGTCTTCAGTTACCATTTTGTGCAAAACACTGTCTTCAGCCTTAAGAGGGTGAACATAAGTTCAAGTTTCTTCCCTTATGGGAGAGAAAATGATTTGCCAGGGTTTCTGACATGACTAGAGCCCAACCATGTTTAGGTTCATGCATTTAGTTGTGAACCCAAAGAAAAGCATTGATTTGGACTCATCTTAGGATGTCTGGTTGATGCAAAACTTATCCTGTACTTACAGGAAGGTATAGTTTATGTTCTCGCAGGTCTCGAGAGCTACTCTGTTGTGTTGGTTAGGTGTCCACTGAGCTCTGTCTTGTGCCTTTGGAGGCTGACTGCAAAGTCTGTCACAATCACTCTTGGCTCCACTCTTGCTTTTCAGGGTTGGGGAGCTGAGTACCATCGCCAGGATGTCACGAGCACACCTTGCTGGATTGAGATTCATCTTCACGGGCCACTGCAGTGGTTGGACAAAGTTCTGACTCAAATGGGCTCTCCACATAACCCGATTTCTTCAGTGTCTTAATAGTTAGGTCTTAATCCCCATTTTTATAGAACAGATGCGGTTGCAGGCAGTGGCTTATATCATTTCAGATTTGCAACTAAAGTGTCTAAGTATATGTGTAAATACATATAATATATACTGTTCATCTATTTTATCACCATTTGTTTTCTGCTTTCTAGTTAAGCTGATGCCATTAGAAAAGAAGGTTTTTTGTGCCTATGATGTAAGAAGCAGCAGCTTTATTTGTGGGAGGAAATAAAGAAAGGCAACTCTGTCAATAGTATTTAAAGGGTGTTGGCAGAATAAAAGGCAGCTTTAGTAAGCCATGTCAATATAAGGCAGGTTGTGTGGCCTACCAGAAAAATACTAAAACTGTTTATATAGCAAAAGTCGGGTACTAGCAGCACTAGAGTAAATAACGCTTTTAGACAAAATGTAGCAATCAAACTCATTTAATTTAAATGATTTCACTTTTAGTACTATTGGCAAGAAAAAATATCAAGTTTATATAATCAATTATGTAAGATAAGACACATAAACTTTATTTCTGAAGTTGAAATACTTATTCCTGGACAATTGTGCTCATATTAAGGGTTCATTTTAAACAAATTTAAAATGTGATTGGAAAAAAAACTGTGAAGCTGAAGTCATGTTCCCTCATAATCTACGACTGTAAAAAAGCAATGAGTCTAATATGGCAAGATAAATATGAAAATAGCATGAAATGAGCTATATTCCCAAACTGTAAGACCAGAACTTAGTCCCAGAATCACCCAAGGAGATTCCTGCTTTCCACATAGGAAATGAGGCTCATGTTTTGCTGGCTGTTCATGCAGGCAGTCCTGCAGACTTTTGAGTCTGCACAGGGAGCTCTAAGACCACGTGTGTAGGTCCTGTAGGAAGAAGAAGCAGGTAATAACAGGAGGGTTGGACAAAAGCATCATATGTTTACTTACACCTTCTCACATTCCCACATTAAAAGTCTCTGGGTGACGGCCCTCCTTTTGCCTTATTTACCTCACCTGTTGGCAAATATTAACTATTTATAGGTTACTAAAACAATGGTGAAGATTTTTGAGAAAATCAAGACACATTACTGAGATCAATTTATGAGTTATTTTACTTAGTGTCTCTATTGAATAAATTATCTACTGGTCAAATCTGGTAGGCTCTTATAAAGCTAAATTCTCACACTTGGAAATAACTTTCCAAGTAAAGTGATAATAATTTCATAATCTCTACAATTTCTGGGGAACAGTAGTATTGAATAATAGGACATTTAAAAAACACACAATATTAAAAACCTGTTCTTATTTACCCTTGGATAATAAAGAGGAAAATCCCCCAAATTTCTAGGTACTCTTATATATGTAAATATAAGTCCCACCCACTAAACACTGCATTCCTTGAAAAAATATATCACACCCTCTTAAAAATGTATAATTTAAGAAGGCAATTATGCTTGTAACAGTTGGTACTTCAGTAATCCAAGAGGTTTCTTCATTTATACATTCTATCTCAACTCTTTGTAGCTTAGTGAACACAGTAGTTATTTCTCATTAAATTATATTCAAGGTAGAAATGATGATGTGAAAAAGATGAGTGAGTTACTACTGTCACCTCTTATGACTAGTGTTATATAATAGAAACTTTCATATATACAATAGAAAATAAATATTACATTTTACATGAAGACTAGGTAACCCATTTAGTGTAGTTCATTGTTCATCAACTATGTATTGTGCACCTGTATGTGCCAGGTACAATGTTAGGTGCTGTAGAATCAAATGTAAACAAGAGACAGCCCAGCCCTTGGGTTGAGAGTCTAATATTATATCTGTTTGTGTACACATCCTCATATTCCAGAACTTGCAAAACAAAACAGAACATACCATCTTCCTTAGCTTAAAAAATGTATTGGTTTCTTAATTATCTCTTTTGAATAATTTCCCTTCTCTTCTGATCATTTAGGTAATGGATGAAGGCTTCCTTGGGTAAATGCTATTTTTCTTCTGTCTAAAAAAGAAGGTTTTCTCCTCCTGTTCCTTTTATTTTCTAATAATTTTCCATCTCCCCTTTACGCTGGAAAGGGCATTAATATGGTTGGTGAATCTTTCTCATACAAGTATCATTCCATGAGAGAACAGCAAGTACACCACGTGGTTTTTGATACAGAGATCAAACATAGCTTTCCTTCTTTTTTTTAAAAAAAAAATCTTTATTGTTCAGATTATTACAGTTGTTCCTCTTTTTCCACTCATAGCTCCCCTCCACCGGTTCCCACCCCACCCTCTGCCCTTACCCCAGCCCACTGTCCTCATCCATAGGTGTATGATTTTTGTCCAGTCTCTTCCCGCACCCCCACACCCTTCCCCCCCCGCCCCTGAGACTAGTCAGTCCACTCCCTTTCTATGCCCCTGATTCTATTATATTCACCAGTTTATTCTGTTCATCAGATTATTTATTCACTTGACTTTTAGATTCACTTGTTGATAGATATGTATTTATTGTTCATAATTTGTATCTTTACCTTTTTCTTCTTCTTCCTCTTCTTAAAGTATACCTTTCAGCATTTCATATAATACTGGTTTGGTGGTGATGAACTCCTTTAGCTTTTTCTTATCTGTGAAGCTCTTTATCTGACCTTCAATTCTGAATGATAGCTTTGCTGGGTAAAGTAATCTTGGTTGTAGGTTCTTGCTATTCATCACTTTGAATATTTCTTGCCACTCCCTTCTGGCCTGCATAGTTTCTGTTGAGAAACCAGCTGACAATCGTATGGGCACTCCCTTGTAGGTAACTAACTGTTTTTCTCTTGCTGCTTTTAAGATTCTCTCTTTGTCTTTTGCTCTTGGCATTTTAATTATGATGTGTCTTGGTGTGGTCCTCTTTGGATTCCTTTTGTTTGGGGTTCTCTGTGCTTCCTGGACTTGTAAGTCTATTTCTTTCACCAGGTAGGGGAAGTTTTCTGTCATTATTTCTTCAAATAGGTTTTCAGTATCTTGCTCTCTCTCTTGCACCCCCATAATTTGGATGTTGGTACGCTTGAAGTTGTCCCAGAGGCTCCCTACACTATCTTCATATTTTTGGATTCTTTTTTCTTTTTGCTTTTCCAGTTGGGTGTTTTTTACTTCTTCGTACTTCAAATCTTTGACTTGATTCTTGCGATCCTCTAGTCTGCTGTTGAATCTCTGTATAATATTCTTTATTTCAGTCAATGTATGCTTAATTTCTAGTTGGTCCTTTTCATATCCTTGAGGGTCTCACTAGATTTATTGAGGGTCTCACTAAATTTATCGGTGGTTTCTAGAAAATTCTTGAAAAACCTTATAACCGTGGTTTTGAACTCTATATCCAGTAGTTTGCTTTCCTCCATTTCTGTCATTTGTGACTTGTTTCTTTGTTTCCACATTTTGGCTGCTTCCCTGTGTTGTTAGAGTGGCTTTATGTGCTAGGTGTTCTCTAGGGCCCAGTGGCTCAGCCTCCCCAATTACCTGAGGTGGACACTCTTGGTGCACCCCTTTGTGGGCTTTGTGCACAGTCTTGTTGTACTTAAGCCTTGATTGTTGTTGGTATCACTGGGAGGAATTGACCTCCAGGCCAATTGGCTATGAGAATCAGCTGTGTCTACAGTGGGAGAACTTCTGTGCTGGAGACACCCTTATGGGGCAAGGCTTGCTTCAATGGGGCTTTGGTGCTCACTGAGTCTGCCCCCTGAGTGTGTTCCTTATGGATCTGAGGAGTTGTAATTTGGATGGTCCCACTCTGACTACTGGGCACACTGGCACTTGGATCTCTAAGGAGGTGCTAATTTAGTCTCTGCCTTAGGCTACCCAGCAGGAGCTACGAAGAGATCTGCAGATTCCTCTTCTCTGTTTGGGGTTTGGAGGTGCCTAGATGAGCCCCAGCTATGAAGCAATGCAATCTGCTGTGGTGCCTGGGCCTTCTTTTGGATGTTCTGGGTCTCTCTGACCCAGCTGCAGTTTGTTAGATAATTGTAGATTGCAAAGGGCCAGGTCATTCATATGCAAAAGCCTCTGCCACAGCTTGGGTGGGGCGGGGTCTCAGGGAATCAACAGGGCGGAGCAAACAGCTATGGCTGATCCTCAGTCCTGCCCTAAGAGGTCCCGGGTCTCAGTGTCCCGCGGTAATCACTGCAAGCACCTGTGAGAGAAAGCCGCCCTCAAGTTCCGACCAATGCCAGACAGTCCAGTTTCTCCCCGTATGAGTCTGGGTCCCCAGAGACTCGCCTGGAACTGGAGTCCAGGGCCGTCGGAAGTTTGTGACTCCCTCCCGATTGAAAAAGACAACCGCCTCCTCAGTTGCCAGCCCTTTCCACGTGCGCCTCCGTACCTCTGCACCTTCCGCACCTCCTCTGAGTCTCAGTTTGCTTTTCCCTGTCCTTCTAGTTGTAGAATTTCCACTCAGTCAGCCTTCCTGTGGTTCTGAATGATGTCCATTTTGTCTTTTAGTTGTATTTTTGAAGTGGTTGTGCGAGGCAGCAATTTCAGGTGTTTACCTATGCCGCCATCTTGGTTTCTCTGTCAAACATAGCTTTCTTGATCAAAATTATCCTCTGAGCCCTAGCCAGTTTTGCTCAGTGGATAGAGTGTCAGCCTTCGGAATGAAGGGTCCCAGGTTCGATTCCAGTCAAGGGCACATGCCCTGGTTGCAGACTCAATCCCCAGTAGGGGACATGCAGGAGGCAACCAATCAATGGTACTCTCTCATCATTGATGTTTCTATCTCTACCTCTCCCTTCCTCTATGAAATTAATAAAAATATATTTAAAAAATTATCCTCTGATAATCTTATACCTTTACAGAATTAGTCAGAACTGATTATTTATAAATGACATTTAAAAAACTTGGATTTGTATACAACTTTTGGAAACTAGGACAAAATATTCCAGTGAACCTGAATTATTTATTTGAAAATAAATAATTAAAATGGTACGTAAACATCATCATCAGTCATATCTCCCCAAAAGCCTTTATTAGGATATGTGTGAAATTCAGAGAATTTAGAATTGATGAGAAGTTAACCCTTCAGTTATTGTAACATAGACACATTTTAATCAGTCTTTAAAATTTTTTTGCTGGAGAAGTTGCCAAACGCTATAATGTAGTATTTTATTTTAGAATTAAAGGCGCAGTGCACAAATTTGTGCACTAGTGGGGTCCCTCGGCATGGCCTGTGGGATTGGGCCGAAACCGGCTCTCTGACATCGCCTGAGGGGTCCTGGATTGCAAGAGGGCATAGGCCAGGCTGAGGGACCCCACTGGTGCACAATCGGGGACCGTTTAGCTCAGTCCCAATCAGCTGGACCCCAGCAGCAAGCTTACCTACTGGTCGGAGCATCTACCCCCTGGTGGTCAGTGCACATCACAGCGAGCGGTTGAGCAGCCTTAGCATATCATTAGCATATTACGCTTTGATTGGTTGAGCAGCTAACCAGTTGACTGGACACTTAGCATATTAGGCTTTTATTATATAGGATTACAAATGTGTTCATTGCATTCATTCCTTGAAGTAGACAATACAAAAAAAGTAATAGCATTCTTTTATAGGATAAGTAGCAAAGTGGACATGCTAAGCCAGTAAATGCATCAGTTGATGCTAAACATGTTCAACGTTGCCATGGAGAAGGTTTATACATAAAGAATAATAACATTCTCTATATCACAAGACAGAAGTTTATCCTGTTGTTCAAGCCTATTTTGTTTTGTTTTGTTTTTTGGTGTGTTTTTTTCTTGTTAAAAAATTGAGATGTGAAAAGTGTTAGGTGATATTTTAATAGATATTAAGCTAGATTCAAGATGTCAGACTACCAGAAGTCACGTCTACTTCACTTTTTTATTGAGGGGTACATTGCAACCATAAAAGCATGCAGAGTGAAGAATTTGACACATTTAAAAACATTGAAGACCTATACCAAATAAGTGTGCTTTATTTTCAGTTGTAATAATAAAGAAGATAACTAAAAAAATAATAATAATATCTGCCTGTGCTTTGGAACTATAACAATGTCACTGTTCAACACATTGACTGTATGTTTTATTTTGTTTACACGATGTATAAGTCTGGAAAAGTTGGAATACAATGTAACATTTAAATTCCCTTTATGTTGTCTTCTAAGGAACTGAATACCCCATAACAAAAACACAAGCATTTTATAAATATCACTTGCTAGACTTTAAGCACCTGCTTAATTTTTAATGGGCCCTGAATATTTGTTATGTATATTTAGTAATTACAGCAAAATATAACATGCATTCCAAATTTTGTATTTTAACAGCATTCAAGATTAGGTGATCCTGGCGTGTGTTAAGGATGAGCTCAAATCAATGTAAAACACAACAAAAAACACTACTTCTATTTAAGTCATATTTTTAATTATAATATGTACGTTTCAACTATTCTTCAAATGCACAGCTGTACTGTTTTGATTGTTTATAATAAAGAATACTGTACCTACATGTCTTCTGGCTCATTTTCCCCTGCAGACCTCATAGCAGGATTCACTGCATGTGGGTTCTTTGAATTATCTTAAACTATCTTGTTTTGAAAGTGGAATGTTTTTAAAGTCCAATATGCTATAGATAATGATTTTAAATTAAGCATCTTGGAATGACTGGCATTAAATATAAAATCTTGAAGATACTTTGCTGTTATTTTAGAGAGGATATGCATAGAAGCTTTTTTTCTGAATAATAGCAAATATTAAGTGATACTGCAGTATATAGGAAAGAATGAACAATTATCCTATCTAATAAAAGAGAAACATGGTAATTAGCCATATGACCGCTACCATTCCCATTGGCTAATCACTGAAATATGCAAATTAACTGCCAACTAAGATGGCGGTTAACCGCCAACAAAGATGGCGGCTAATTTGCATACTGCAGGCAGGATGGGACAGCGCCATCCTGCCAGCCCCTCCGCCATCCGGGCCTGCTATCTGTGACCTGGATGGTGGGCGACCAGTGTGCGACCCGACCCAGGGCTGGCAGGTGTGACTGTGACCGCAGCGGTCCGCCCTCAGTCGCCGCCCCCCAACCTGCTCTCCCGCTGGGACATCGGGGCTGGCTGCAATTCACCACCAGTCACTCCCCCAACAGGCCCTCCAGTGTTTGACCCAGGCTTCCGGGGACAGTGTGGCTGTCACCCCAGCTTCCCCATCACAGCTGAGGAAAGGGCAAATAGCAATATTAAAATATTTCCTCTAATTAATTCCCTTTCAATGTGCATGAATTTCGTGCACCGGGCCACTAGTATTATTATAAATATCTATATATTGCTATACATTACCTATAAGAAAAATGCTAAAGAAGGCTAATGGGGAAAAACTACAATGAAATCCAGGAAGATCTCTAAAAATATAAATTCTCAATTCCCTCCATTTAAATTTCTTTGCAGTCCTAACACAAAGGGAAATATGTAACTATTTTGAGAAAACTTACCCTTTTTATTAACTTGAAACTTGATCAAGGTTTTTCTCTTCTCTTCTCTTCTCCTTTTCTCTTTTCTTTTCTTTTCTTTTCTTTTCTTTTTTTCTTTTTTCCCCCCTGGCCTGGTAACAGTTGCTTAGACATCATCTAGATATGCCAAGGTTTCAGATTGATCCCTGGTCAGGGCACATACAAGAATCAACCAATGAATGCAGCAATAAGTGGAACAACAAATCTATGTCTTTTTCTCTCTCCTTCTCTTTCTCTAAAATCAATCAATAAAAAATTTTAAAAAAGAAAGCACTTCTTTTTTAAACAAAATGTTTTTTCTTAAAAAAAAAGAAATAAAAAGAAATGGAGCTCTTTATTCAAAAGGACTATTTTGTGGAATTCCGAAATTTAAGCAAATGAAACATATTCTAAGTCAGAAAGATATAGGTGGGGATTAAGAAAGTTCCAGTTTAAGCTGTAAATTTATGGGGAGCAGTGATTGTATCTTGTTTGTTTTTGCATCTCTCAGAGTGCCTGACCCTGTTTTTGCATCTAGTGTTTGATATTGGCATTTAAAACACTAAGAGGTAGAGATTTTTAATATATTATGGCATACATATAAAACAGTGATTTTCAACTTTCTTTATCTCATGGCAGACATAATTAATTACTAAAATTCTGTGGTGCACCAAAAATATATTTTTTGCTTATCTGATAAAAAAAAGGATATAATTTTGATTAATTCACACCAGATAGCTATTGTTGTATTGGCTGTTGTCATTTTTTTATTTGACAATCTAAGGGAAAAGAGGTCGGTGTCCCTGACTAAATAGTCAGGTATTGCATATTTTTAAAATGTTGTGGCACACCAGTTGACAATAGCTGACATAAAATACTGTCTTTAAACATTAGTCCATCTTAGAGAAGGAGTATTCTTATCATCCTAGAAACTTTCACATCTTCACTTATCAGATGGTTCTTATGCATCAGCTCCTACTAGATAGGCACTATGGATAACAATGACAACACAGTTTCTGCCTTAAAGAAGCTTACCAGTTTGTGGGGGAGAATGAACAAGTAAACCAATAAAGGTCAGTGTGACAAGCTGCTGGGGGACCGAGGCATGACATCTCCATCAGGCCCTGGGAGGGTACCCAGGAAGGCTTCTGGGCTGATCCAACTTGCCTTCCTTCCCATCAGTTCCTTTAGTCATTCTAGACATTCCCAAACAAGGTTAGGTGCCTATTCTCTGTACTCCCATCATAAATTGTGCTCATCAATGGTCAGTGATCAAGTCTTTCACCACATTGTTTACTTGTCCATCTCTCTACCAGGCAGGGAGCTCCTTGTGGGCAAACATTGTGTATTCATGCTCATCATTCTCTAGGTATTGTTTGTTTAGAAAGGCATATGAGTTCACATTGTAAAGGCAGAAATTGTATTTGTTTTAAATTCTCCTTTTTAAAAATCAGCAAGTATTCCTCTCTTCAAAATAAAAATAATTGCAAGTCCAGTGACTATGCTTCAGCTAGTGGGAATGAGAGCAGCATGCTTGTGGTTTAATTTGGAAATTCAGTTGACCCTTGAACATGCAGTGTTGGGGCACTGATCCCCAGGCAGTTGAAAATACACATATAACCTTTGACTCCCTCAAAACTTAACTAATAACCTACTGTTGACCAGAAGCCTTACTGATAACAGTCAATTGGCATATATTTTGTATGATATACATATTATATACTGTATTTTACCCCAAAAAAAGTAAGCTGGAAAAAAACTGTTAAGAAAATCATAAGGGAGTGATGTCAGCATCATGGCAACGGGAGAAGATTTCTTTATTTTTCCCTTTAAATCTACAAGTTGGGCAACTATAACACAACAATGGATCCCCTGCTCGACACATAAACGTGCCTGAGAAATCCACACAACTGTGCATCTGAAAGTGGATTTATTGGAATGAGTAGGGAAAGCAGGAAAGGGGGGGAGACAGGGACAGTGGTGCAGTCACAGTTTGGTGCCACCTACAGCTTCAGTGAGGGTGGTAGCACTAGAGAAGTCTGGCTGAAGTCCCCACACTATAGCCTGGAGTGTAAGAGGCGCAGAGGGAAAAGGCAGCTCACTTTTCTCCTCCCTATTGCAACCCAGCCTGGTAGAAGCAGTGGGACACTTTAAACAGTACAGTGGTGCTGGCAGCCATTGGTGGCAGGGTGACAGAGTCATGAAATTGTGAACTTGCCTTACTTGCTCTGCCCATCCCAGCAGAGCCCGGCACAGGTAGTAAAAACACTTCCAACAACACAGTGGGTCCAGTGGCTATTGGCAATAAAGAGGCAGTGCTGGGGGCCCACAAAACAGGTTGTATACTACCTTCCACATTCCCCCACCATGGAGATGATGCCCAGTGTCTGAGGCAAGGTGGTCTTAGAGGTCCACCCAACACACCAGTATGTGGCATTTTCCTCAACAGATGTGAAGCCACTTCACCATGATCCCAGAGGCAGAAATAGCATGGGTGAGAAAACAAAAATGTGCTATGGCACCATCTACAGTAAAACAAAATAAATTATCCTACCTATCAATCTGCTGAATTGCGGATATACCAGAAAGATAAGAGAAGGGAATGGAGAGACTATTCAAAGAAATTGATGAGAATGTCTCAAACCTATGAAAAGAACTAACCAAGGTAACATGGAAATATATAAAATGAAATTTTCCAGAAACCAAACCTAAAGTCATGGAAGTCTACAGTTTAGATTTGTAGTTATGAAGAAACTCGATGAGATTCAAGAAAATGGAGAAAGGCAGTTCAGTGGACTCAGGAATAAAATTAGTGAGCAAAAGGAGTACTTTACCAAAGATATTAAAACTATAAAAAAGAACCAAACAAATGCTAGAGCTGAAGAACTTAATAAAATGAGATGAGGAATGCATTAGAGAGCATTAGAAATAGAGCAGGGCAGATGGAATGGAAGGACATTTGACTTGGGTGGTGAACACACAACACACTATACAGATGATGTATTATATAATGGTAAACCTGAAACCTGTATAATTTTATTAACCAATGTCACCAAAAAATTAAATAAAAAGAAAAAAAATAGTCAAAAATTAATGACAAAGAAAGAATTCTCAAGGCATCCATGAGTGGAGGGGGAGACCATAATCTACAAAGGAAATCCCATTAGATAATCAGATTTTTTAGTAGAAATATTACAAGCCATGAGAAAGTGGAAGGAAATATCAAAAATATAAAGAGAGGAACCATTACTCAAAGATAATATATCCAGCAAAACTATCCATTAGATATGAAGGAAAAATAAAGGCTTTCTCCAAAAAACAAATGCTGAGATAATGTACCACCACAAGATCTGCATTACAAGAAATGTGGAAGGAGGTCTTTAAACATAAACAAAAAGACAAAAATTTAAAAACATTTAAGATGACTAACAAACAGAAGTAATTATTGCAACTGTACTTCATAAGAGGGCATTAAACACTTAATTATAACAAAAGTTAAAGGGTGGAAAAGACATTAAAAATAACTATAGCCCGGCCGGCATGGTTCAGTGGTTGAGCGTCGACATATGAACCAGGAGGTCACGGTTCCACTCCCAGTCAGGACACATGCCTGGGTGTGAGCTTAATTCCCAGTGTGAGGCATGCAGGAAGCAGCCAAGCAATGATTCTATCTCATCATTGATGTTTCTATCTCTCTCTCCCTTCCTCTCTGAAATCAATAAAAATATATTTTAAAAAAATAACTATAACTATTGTTGAGAGAACCAAGATGGCGGCATAGGTAAACACCGGAGTTTGCTGCCTCGAACAACCACTTCAAAAATACAACTAAAAGACGGAATGGACATCATCCAGAACCACAGGAAGGCTGGCTGAGTGGAAATCCTACAACTAGAAGGAAAGATAAAACCATACCTAGACTCGGAGGAGGCGCAGTGCGGAAGTAAAATACTAAAGTGCGGAGGTTGCATGTGGAGCGGGCTGAAGGCTGAGGGCGCGGTTTCAATCGGGAGGGAG